GGGGGTCTTCAAGAGGAGGTTAGATAAGCATCTAGCTGGGGTCATCTGAACCCAGCCCTCTTTCCTGCCTATGCAGAGGGTCGGACTCGATGATCTATTGAGGTCCCTTCCGACCCTAACATCTATGAATCTATGTCTGCCCAGACGATGATATTTGACATACAAGCTCTTTCACTGTTCTTGTGGCAAGTCCAGGACTCTAGTGGAAAAGTGAAGGACAAGGGTGCAGCATGACTTCCAGAAGGCCAGTCTGTGAGGACAAATCTCTCACCTGTCTCCTCCAGCAGGAGAAACAAATGGAGTAGAGTCTTTGAGCCATCAGCTGGTCTCCTTGTCTCTGCAGAAGCTGCCAGGGAATCAGTACAATGAGTCCTACTGATGTACACAAACATCCTCAGGATCACACTGATCTGGGATCCATTTCTCAAAAAGTACCCAAACCCAGAAAGGATTTCTACCCTAGAAAGTTATTGGTCCATACCTGAAATCCCCCAGCCCTTCCCAACAGAGGGCTCATCACCCCATCTGACAGCTCTATGTACTCCGGTGTAGAAGAGACAGATATCATGTCCACACTAGCCGAGACTCCCACACTGTTCCCCAGCCTAAACTGTGGGAATGGGCTTCACCTGTAGCTCCGTTCCTTTTGCAGAAGACTGCTGCGTAGATGGTTTCTCCCTCCTACAAAACCTTCCCAGTCCCCTAGTTCCCAGTTGGTCGGCCCTTCTCACCATCTTCCCAATGCACTGCAGATGATACTGCTTCCACTTAGTGAGGCAGTTTCTGAGCAAGGACCTCTGATGGTGTTCAGCCGCGGTGTCCAGCTGGGTTCTCAACACCATGGACCTCTTGGCAAGTTCCTTCCAGCGAAGAAACAGGGCCTGTAGATGCACTGTTGACAAAAGATATCATGAGCTAAAGGACCAGGAGACCTCCCGCTCTCTATCAAAGGTAGAAGCAGCTATGAGACCAGTTCTTCTATTTCCTTTGTTTGACAGTATTTCATAGAATCATAGAAAATTAGAGTTGGAAGGGACTTCAGGAGGTCTAGTCCAACCCCCTGCTCAAAGCAGGACTATCCTCAACTATATCATCCCAGTCAAGGCTTTGTCTAGCCAGGTCTTAAAAACCTCTAAAATGGACAGTCCACAATACTAACAACAATATTTAGGCTGAGAGGAAAGATAGTCTTATATGTCACTGGGAAGGGAGTCAGGATATCTTGGATGTCTTCCCAGCTCAGTCACTGACATCCTTTGTAATATTAGACCCTTGACTGCTTCACGACTCGGGTCCTTCTGAGAGTGATGATAACACCACCTCCCACCAGGAAGGTAACTATGCAGTTATGTCTACACTAATAGTTAAGCCTGACCTTAAAGTCATCTTCAAGCCTGTAACCACAAAACATTTATGCTGCAAACCCCTAAACTCAACCCCTGGCAGCAGTCTGATTAAAATGAAACACCACATGCATACATACATATGGTGTTTCATTTTAAATCATGGAAAAAATGTGGATTTTGGGTTACTTTTTTTAATCCAAAAATTGGGTTGTTTTTTGTTTGTTTTTTTTTTAAATCAGAGAAAACCAGGATCCTTGGTTATAAGTTACCATGTAG